AGTGATGGTTTTTCTGTTTCCCCATGCGAGATAACATAATGATTTACCCTTATAAGTCTTACTACCTTGATATGTATTGAATGGTTTACCTTGAGACCATAATCTAACTGCCCTTTGCATATTTCCATAATTTTTGGATCCACCAGTATCTAAAACAACACCAAATCCTTTTGTTGGATCACCAGCAACAACATATTCGATATAAACAGCATTGGGAATACCATTATCATTAACTTCATCGTATATCACCTTCATAGCATCACTATTAGCAAACCCACTATTTTGGATCATACTGCCAACCCACATATATCCGACAATATTACCACTTGAATAACTGAATGATTCGCGGCTTGGATTATTCTTCAATTGTGTCTTGAAATAATTAATTGCAGTAATGGCGGCTTTTTGGTTAGCTGTTGTTTTCGTTCCTTTCCAATATCCGAAAAAGACATTCTGTGATACTAGATCAGAATTGGAACATGATGCTGAAAGTCCGAAGGAAAAAAGCGTGGAAAGAATGAAAAACCACGGTATGAGAGAAACTTTCATTGTGGATGCAATATATATTTGAAGAAATTGATTGTCTTTGGTTTAGAATTGGAATTCTTTTCATTTTCTTGTTTTCTGAAATCTAAGGAAATTTGTAGGTCTATATAAATACAACAAGATTCAAGTGAAATCTTTCAAGGTGATCTTTTCAAGTTTCCCAAATTTAAAAAGAATCGTAGATATTTCTATTCACGCGACTAGACGCGTAAATTAAAAAATAAAACAATAGGCGATAAATTTATTATTCGGAAAAATTGGCTTAGGGGATGGTGGAATGTTCTTTACGGATAATTGTCATCGAAAAGCCCTGGTGGGGAGTTAGAAACATATGGGAAGGTAATACAATACATATATGTTGTACAAATCAACATCATTTAACTCATGAATGCATATAAGCTTAAAAAAGGGACCCTTTTAAATTTTTTTCTTTGGTCATCAAACAGAAACGAGAAGAATTTTTGATGCGTATTTTTCAAAACCTCACATGAGGAAAATTTCTCCAGATTGGAAACTTGAACGAGAGACGCGAAAGGAGAGATTTCTTTTCAACTAAAACACAAACAAATAAACAAACAATTCATCTTGAATTCATTTTTTCATGTTCTTTTCGTAGCGAATGTGTTGCCTAATATTATTCAAAAAAGGATCTCAATTGTAATTTGTAATGAAAATATCTCTTGGCATCCAAGACATTCTCTCATTGGCTTAGTAAAATAATAGAAATATTATTTCTTTGTTCATGAAATCACAAAACCAAATATGTTTGTGCACTTTTTCGTAAACCATCTTCATGCTTTGGGTAGGGTACTGGTGCCGAAAGCTTGGTGCATTTGTTGTTTCCAGCCATATTCCCTTCCGAAAATAAACTCGAGATGAGACCTAATGAAATGTCTAAATCGCTGCTCAGATCACTCACCACAAGCTACATAAAATGTGAAAAATATACACATCGGTAAGATTTCTATGGAATTCATAAAAGCTTGGATTGGTAGCTTCAGATTCATTGATCAGTAGCAGTTTCTCGTTTCTTTAGCATTGTACATTTATTCACCTAACTTGGAACCTTGCAAACCTTTTTCTGGTATCTATTAGCAATGCCCATGTGCCACTCTGATCCACGTTGGCGAAGGAATTTGATGCCACTTATTAGTAGCTAATTTTAAACTTAGTTGAGATAAAGATATCCTATTTGGGGGTTCTTTGCAAATAAAGTTTTCCTTACACAGCTGTGATCTCTCCAACGTGGTACTAGATCTAACTATAAATGTAAGTAGCATTAAAGTCAAATTAAGAAAAATGGTCACCTCAGAAAACTCCATTGTACATGTCGTTGAAAACCGTTGAAAGGTTCCGTTCATCCATGGCATATTTTTTAAACGTTTGATTAGCAACGAAACCCAGTTGCAAAAACTATATTTTGAAGGTCTAAAGCGTTGGTTTCTCAAATCGATGGTTCTTCAGTTTTCTCTATTCATTCTTACTTGTTTCCTGGGGGGGAGGAATATGTAGAATCCCGAATGTGTTCAAAAAATCGCATGAGTTGATAGAAATTTCTGAGAGACCGAGGTAGGGGGGATGCAAACCACTCGTTTCGTTTGTGGGCAGGGAAAAGAAAGGCGGGCAAGCAAATTTCAAGATAAACGATCATTATTTCTTAACATCAACGAACAATGGATATGCATTTCCCCATGGGCGTACAAATATATTCGAGTGTGTATGTTGCTTATTATTATTATTCATTGTTTAATGCGAAGTTTTTGGAATCCGTTAGATATCCGAGTCTTTTTTTTTGCATTCATTTTGTAAGAGAGATTTTGTTTCTCTTGAGACTCGGTTCAAGTTTTACCGATTATTTTTTTAATAAATCGGTTACACTAGCCTATGTACCAAATATTATTTATTTATATAAGTACGTTTTTCTTACAAGAATAGTTGCTGCCCCGCCATTCCCCCCTCCATTATCAAATTGACGAAAGATCAATTCATAGATTGTTATCCCTATCTTTCTAATCCATGTATCCCAACCTTCTGTCAAGATTAGCCGTATGTTTACGAGACTGCATTTGTTGGGTGCTTGCTTACTGTTTGATACTTGAACCAATAGAGGGGATTCAACAACAAATATGATAAAGCAAGCTTTAGGCAGGCTGCAAAAACCAACAAATCGCAATGTCTGAGGAGTAGAGGGTAAACTAAGCGAGAGAGCAATAGTTCGCTTTCTGGATCCAAGGTGCTCAACGAAGATAATGCAACAAATACAAGAATATACGAAGGGGTACTATTTATCAAACTGAATAAGAATCTGAACACCGTATATCCTTTAGTCTCTCGTATCCATCTCTTTATATGGCCATTTACTTGGAAAAAAACAGAAAACCTCTTGGTTGCTCCCCTCCCGATGTCGGTTACGTCATAAAAAATTGCAGCATTTTTGTGCAACAAAGATATTGCGCAATTTCAAGCGAGAGCTTCCATTATAACTGGTAAATTATTCATCTTTGTAACCGGTTAAAGCTGAAGTCGCAAGAAAACAATCACAAAGAACCTTGGCAACTACCTCGGTATATGCAGCATTACAGGAAAACAATGGTACGGTGCTTTTCCGGAATTTCAAGACCGAAGTAATCTCGCATCTCATGTCTTGCATAAGCCGTTTGACCATTCTTAATGATCATTTGTAATAAACACCAATGCAACGACCGCCTATGTAACTTCAACTACCCTATCACTGACTTAAATCTTTCGCTTACTAAGAGTTTATAAATCAAACTTTATAAGTCATACTGATGTCATTATGCAGCAGGTGTAGAATTCATTGTTCCACATCTAGAAGGAGAAGTATATTTGTCGTAACCTTAATTGTTAGCTCTCTCTTTGTTCCTTCAAAGTGGTTAATTGTCAAAGAGGAATGTGGTTTACCATCCACCAATAGAGATTTTCATTGATCCTAATGTACTCAATACATCCATCCCCACTCTCTCATACAATGCGGTATCACATGGGGTTCCAAGTTGAGTCCACAAACTTGAAACTTTAATTTTTTCTAAAGTGGGGGGCAGAACAAAGGGTTGGTTTAAAACCAGGAAACAATAAGAAGGTTTTTCTAACTTAACGGTCGTTGAATGAACCTCCACCATACTCTAATTTTGTAACACTATTCTTTAGAAGAATTTTTCTTTTATAATAGCTGTTACATATCTAGTACTCGATGGAAATTAAGAAGAAAGGAAAAGCTAAGTTACGGTTCAAAGTAACATAATACTTGATGATTCATTTCGTACACAGCATACGCCGCGGCTTTTCCCTCGGAAAAATTGCTCCAAGATCTTCTTCTGGATGCACGATTATTTTTAATCAATAAATACAGGGCAAAAAATATTTTATTTTTTTTTGTGTTCCTGAAGAACTTTAATTTTGCCGTCTTTTGCAGAAAAAGCAATCAAAGTATGATTACATTGTAAGTACATACCAACAATAAATGAGCACCTGTTTTGTGTGATATCTACGAACATTGACAATAAGACCTGGCTCAAGTAAATGAACCAGTAGTTGAAAAGAAATGCATATAAATATAGCTAGGAATCCGCTTCAACCGAGTATCAAAATAAGTCTTGTCCTTAGTCTACAAGAAGTCAATCTTATAAAGATCTCCTTACTTTAGATAATTTCCTATTAGACTTATACATTATTAAAACAAATATGGGTGCTTTAGCTTGGTTAACGGCAAAGACCAATACTGGTGGTTGGGAAGACAGAAAGTTAAGAGTCAGAGTCACAGCTTTTGCTGTTATTGGTTTCATGTTATTCGGATATGATCAAGGTTTGATGTCCGGTTTGGTCGCTGGACAACAATTCAACTGGGAATTCCCTGCTACTCATGAAAATAGTACTGTTCAAGGTGCTGTTACTGCTTCATATGAATTAGGTTGTTTCTTTGGTGCACTCTTTGCTTTATTTTTTGGGGACAAGTTGGGAAGAAGAACAGTGATCCTTATTGGTGCAATGATTTTCATTCTCGGTGTTGTTATTTCAATTACTCCATTTAGACCATATTGGCCCTTGGGACAATTCGTTGTTGGTAGAGTTATCACTGGTGTTGGAAATGGTATGAATACCGCTACTATTCCAGTTTGGCAATCAGAAATGTCTCGTCCAGAAAACCGTGGTAGACTTATTTTGCTTGAAGGTAGTGCAATTGCAGTTGGTACCCTTATTGCTTATTGGCTTGATTTTGGATTTTCTTATATTGATAATTCTGCCCAATGGAGATTTCCAGTAGGATTTCAAATGGTTTTTGCTTTCATCTTGATTTATGGTGTCCTTAATTTACCTGAATCACCAAGATGGTTAGTTGCTAGTGGAAGAAAGCAAGAAGCTCATTACGTTATGGGTAAATTAAATGGTGTCCCAGAAGATGATGATTCTGTTTGTGCAGAAATCACTGTTATCTCAGATGCAGTTAATAGGCATACATCTCCTGTTGGCTTCAGAGAATTATGCTCTGGTGGTAAAACTCAACATTTCCAAAGGATGGTGATTGGTGCCTCTACCCAATTTTTCCAACAATTCACTGGGTGTAATGCTGCTATTTATTACTCAACTTTGTTATTCTACCAAACTATCTTTGATTATAGTAACTATAGATTGTCTTTGATTTTAGGTGGGGTCTTTGCAACCGTTTATACCCTTGCCACTATTCCTTCGTTCTGGTTAGTCGATTCCTTAGGTAGAAGAAAGTTGTTCTTAATTGGTGCTGCAGGTCAAGGTGTTGCATTTACAATCTCCTTTGCTTGTTTGATTAACAAGAATACCGAGACTGCAAAGGGAGCTGCTGTTGGTATCTTTATCTTTATCATCTTCTTTGCCTTTACCATCTTACCATTGCCATGGATTTATCCACCTGAAATTAATCCTTTGAGAACCAGAACTGTTTCTTCTGCTATTTCAACCTGTACCAATTGGATTACTAATTTTGCGGTTGTCTTGTTTGTTCCAAGATTCATTGAAAAATCTGGTTGGGGTTGTTACTTGTTCTTTGCTGCTATGAACTTTTCTTTCATTCCAATCATTTATTTCTTCTATCCAGAAACTGCCGGTAGATCATTGGAAGAAATTGATATCATCTTTGCAAAGGCACATATCGAAAAGAGACAACCATGGAGAGTTGCTGCTACTATGCCACACTTATCCTTACAAGAAATTGAAGAAGAAGGTCTTAAACTTGGATTATATGATAATGCATTTGAAAAGGAAGATTTGGAACATAAAGAAAAAGCTTCGGTTTCATCCACTGATAAAGGAAATGAAATTCATGAAACCACAACTCAACAAGATTAAATAGTTTACTCTTTATTTTTTTACTCCAATAGCTTTGATAGTTAAGTACATATAATCTAATTTAAATTTTATAAGATAACAATATGATCTCCCTTCTCTTATGAATACATTCTAAGCATGTCTCCAAAAGGAAACCAATCCGGAGAAAATTGCGAAACCACTATGAAATTTTATTGGTTGCAAAAACAAAAATTGACTCCTTTGGTTATTGATATTTTCAAAATTTTATATCAAAACGTCATTATTGACTTCTCAGTGGAACTTGTGATCTCTTTTGTCTCTCATATCGTGGCTGTTGCCTGAAAGAATTAAATATTGTATATCATGAAATTGTGGCGGATCAAACATTCCCCCCCCTCCTCCATTTTCAGATCTAAAACTGTCCAAGAAAAAAAAATCGAAGTCTTCTTCTTCTTCTTCCCTACTTGAACTTAAATCATCAACTGAAACAATTATGGCCTCTCAAAAATATCTCCAAAAAGCTCAGGATTTGATTAACACTCATCCATACCTTATGTTATCCAAATCATGGTGTCCAGACTGTCACTACACCTATAGGATTTGGGATAGATTCCATGTTGCTGACAAAGTTCATATTATTGAATTAGACAAATTCCCAGATCAAAAGGAAGCAACTGAATTGGAAAAGGCATTTACAGAAATTGCAGGAAGAAAATGGGTTCCAACGTTGTTTTTTAATGGAAAAAGATTTGGTACTGAAGCTGATTTAAAGAGATGGGATAGTGAAGATAAATTGGAAGAAATATTTAAACAAGAAAAGTTGATTTAAATATAGTTACTTGGACAAATATAGATTAGAAATAAGTATAATTAATAAAAATGTACAATTAAAACAATCTGTATTCACAAGAGTGTAATAGTTGGGGCAAAGACCTTAAACCTTCAGGGCACTGAACTCGATTATCTTATATATTGAGGAATCTGTCTGCAATGAGAGTTTGGCTGGCGATCATTTTACCTCCTCGTCTTTCACGTGCCAGCTTTGCAATTTCTTTGAAGTCTTCTTCCTCTAAATCTCTGGCGTTAATGGATTATTTCGGATATCGCCTGGAAATGGAAATAAATCGGTGGCTTGTAATCGGATTTTTGATTGATTCTGAAGAGAAGTCAAGATCAATATCGTCAGAAATGACTCATTGCCGCTCACTCTTCGGCTTGTCACCCACTTCTTTCCACATTCGTACTAAATTTAGGGCCGCTATTGTCGCGTCCGCTCCAAGCATTTCCCAATTTGGGGTTATCTTTGTCGCATTAATGCCAAATTTGATTTTTCCGAAATCCATTTGCGGCAAATGTGATGCTTGAGCGGTCTTCAAAGACCGCTAACCCCGGCTCTCTATCTTTATATTGTAGCTACTGGAAGCAGTATAAAAGCTGAAGGTGTTCCGTGTCTTCTTCTACTTCTTTAGTCAATTAATAAGATAATTATATCAAAAACTAAGACAACAAAATGGCCTCGCAAATCTATATCCAAAAAGCTGAGGACTACATCAACACTCATCCATATCTCATGTTAGCCAAATCTTGGTGTCCAGATTGTCAATATGCCAATAAAATTTGGGAAAGATTCGATGTTTCTGATAAGGTCCATACCATCGAGTTAGACAAAATCCCAGATCAAGAAGAAGCTGCTGAATTGGAAAAGGCATTCATTGAAATTGTTGGCAAGGGAGTTCCAAAATTATTTTTCAATGGTAAGAATTTTGGTACTGATGCTGATTTAAAGAAATGGGAAAGTGAAGATAAATTAGAAGAAATTTTCAAACAAGAAAAGTTGATTTAGAAGTAGATACTAGGGTACATACATATACTAGGAATAAATATAAATCAAAAGTACATTTATAATAAACTATACCGTAAACAAAAAGTAATGTAGAAAAATTGATGATAAATCAAAGAAAGATGAGTTGAAATTCTTTCTAGAAATGACATCTTAAACTAGAAGTGAAAACCATAACAGTGTTGAACGTAAGTCTCATTTATATGAAAAGGATGGCTAAACTTAAACAGCCAATGGGTAAGAACCAGCCCAAGCGGAGATTTCTTCCTTAACAGCTTGTAATTTTTCATCACCCTTGGCAACAGCGGCCTTGAAATCCTTCAATTTGTTAGCATCCTTTGGTAAGTTAGCTTGGATTTCCTTGGCATATTTGACAGCAAAGTCAATGTAAGAAACAATCTTGTTGAAGTCTTCTTCACCCATACCTCTAGTGGTCATGGCTGGAGCACCAATTCTGACACCACCTGGAACTAAAGCAGATTTGTCACCTGGGATAGAGTTCTTGTTTAAAGCAATGTTAATCTTTTCACAAACAGCTTCAACTCTAGCACCATCAATTTGTTTGTCCTTAAGAGAAACTAAAACCATATGGGAATCGGTACCGTTAGAAACTAATTTGTAACCCTTGTTGATGAATTCGTTTTCTAAGACCTTGGCGTTCTTCAAGACTTGTTGTTGGTATTCCTTGAATTCTGGAGTAGCAGCTTGTTTCAAAGCAGTAGCTAAAGCAGTGATGGTGTGGTTGTGTGGACCACCTTGGTGACCTGGGAAAACGGAGAAGTTAATTGGGTTTTCTAAATCGTAAAGAACTTCTTGACCAGTCTTTGGGTTAACAGATCTGACACCTCTTCTGAAGAAGATCATGGCACCTCTTGGACCTCTTAATGACTTGTGGGTGGTGGTGGTAACAATATCAGCATATTCGAATGGAGATGGGATGACACCTGCAGCAATTAAACCGGAGATGTGAGCCATGTCGACAACAAGGTAAGCACCAACTTTGTCGGCAATTTCTCTCATTTTCTTGTAGTCAATTAATCTACAGTAAGCAGAAGTACCAGCAACCAAGACCTTTGGTCTGAATAAAACAGCGGTCTTTTCCAACATGTCGTAGTCAATTAAACCAGTTTCTAAATCAACACGGTATGGCATAGTTTCGAAATAAGTAGAAACAGCAGAAATCTTTCTAGAATCAGTTTGGTAACCGTGAGATAAATGACCACCATGAGGTAAATCTAAACCCATTAATCTTTCGTGTGGCTTCATGACAGCTTGGTAAACTTGTAAGTTAGCTGGGGAACCGGAAAGGGTTTGAACATTAACACCCCACTTATCTGGAGTAAGACCAAAGGCTTTTAAGGCTCTTTCTTGACATAAAGTTTCAATTCTATCAATGTGTTCATTACCACCATAGTATCTAGCACCTGGGTAACCTTCAGAGTATTTGTTACACATTGGAGTTCCTAAAGCATCAAAAACAGCAGTGGTGGTGAAGTTTTCAGAAGCAATTAAGACAATTGAGTGTTTTTGTCTATCAATTTCGTCCTTGATAATAGAATCAACTTCTGGATCAGTGTCCTTTAAGTGACCTTCAGTTAATTGTCTGTGTGATTCGGATAAAGCGTAAGGCATTGTGATAATATGAATTGATGAATTGAGGAAAAGAAGAAAGGATTCAAAGAAAGGGGAAAAAAAATTGGTTCTCGATGAGTCTATTTATAAAATTTCAGTTTATAAAAATTTTTCATTTTCTAGGCAAAGGAGTTAAATTAATCAGAGTCAAAAATTTATAACACAAAATTAGACAATTTTACGATAAACTGATTATTATTCTTTTTTTTTTGTTGATTATGTAATCATTACGCCTGTGATAACGTAATCAAAGAAATCTAAAGATCATAATAGAAAGAGAGTTCACAAACAATCTAAATGTATAAAACGTATTTATATTTTCAGCTACCTAAACTACTAAAATAACAAATATTGGAAATGAAAAGGAAACAGGGGGACAAAAAAAATACCCATGATACAATTGGGGATTTACTTTTAACAATCAAGCACGTGCCAATCTAGAAATAAAATTAACGATGATATCTCCATTTAAGATCACGTTCAGAGTAACATCCTTTTGAACATTCAGAACCACCAACTCATTGCCTTAGACTACTTTCGTCCTTCGTTATATGAATTCCTTTCAATTGAAAAGGATTCCAACAATTTTCTTTTTCTGCTTCTCTTGCAATTTGTTCTTCTTCTTCTTGAATGTACGTTTAATATAAAGTCACTCTTAATCTATGGGAAATTGCTAATTTTGGAACAACCACACAAAGACAACTAATACCATTCAAGATAAATAAATTTAAATTATAACTTGAATAATGTGTACTAATTAAAAATAAACCAATTGGTACCAACATTAAGAATTTCTTACTTGGAGTATATTGATCCCCATTGTCTATCTGTTCCCACATAGTTAAATTATCATAAGCTCCGGAATTGAATTCAAACGGCGTTCCTTTCACTTGATGGAACATAATATATGATCCAACATTATAAGTTAAATTTGTTAAAGTCCATCTCCAATCATTATCTAAAACACCAGTTAAATTAAAAAATACTTTTAATAACATTATTATCACAATATGTATGATCCATGCTCCCTTTTGATGAACCCAATTTGCATTGACATTTGGATTTAATGATTGATCAATTTTTGTATCTAAAGTGTCGGGTTCTAAATGTTGAATAATTGAAGAAGATCTTCTTTGTCTAGTGGCAATATGAGCTGATTGATGGGAAGGAGTCGGAGTCAATGGACTGGAGTTACTTCTTGTACGACCAGGAGAATGTGAATCACTAATTGAGCGGTGTCTTTGGTGGTTAGCAAACAGACTAGTTGTTGTTGCCATCGGATTTGTTGAAGTTGTTTGAATGGTGATTGCAGGTGCTAAATGAGGCTCATTGCCATTGGATTTAGGCGATAAGTTTGACATTGTTGATATATTATATAAGGATGGTATGAATTATATAAATGTATAGGAAAGGAGGGTTGATCTAGACGTAGAAGAAAGAGAGAAAGAAAGAGAGAAGAGTTGTTAGGTGGTTTCTTTTTTTAGAAAAACAAATTCCTTTCACAGTTAAAAAAAGAGCGGAAAAAAAAAACGATATTAAAAATAATGTTAGAGTAAAAAAAAAATGATTCATCAATCACAAAAGTAAATAATGTAAGGGAGAGAAAGACAATAACAAGTGCATCTGTATTCATAGTTCGTATACACGCAGAAAGAGGTGCCGATACTTCAATATTATCTTTTCTCCCCTCCTCCCCTTCTCATCACGAGTTACAAAATTTTTAAATCTCGTTTAAATTGTTCTGATTTTTTTTGTATAATTCGGCATTTTGTATTTTCTGCTCGTATAAACTTATTGTCATAATTTGTATCTATATACACACACACCATATTCTATACGGTATCTTCAATAGGAACGTAGATTCCACCAGAATGCCATCCACTAGCAGCAATTGAAACCCATTTACCAGGATAAGGAGGATTTTTCACTTTCAATGGTTTGATTGCTTGCAAACTATGATAATCATCTAATACGGCTTCCTCGGGGTGGTCCCTCACCACATCATCTTCCGATCCCAATCCTAAACATCCGCATCCGCTTGATTCTCGACCCCAGCTTAGAATATCACCATCATTAGTTAATGCCAAATAGTGGTAATCTCCAATTTCCAAAGTTTTGATATTCTTCCCCTGTAATTCATCCATGATTATTGGGGATCTTCCTTCTGCCTCGTCTTCTCCGTTTTGTCTTTGTTCTTCATAATGAACCAAATGTTTACGTGAACCTATCAAAACGTGATCATGATTGGTGAATACAGCAAAATTTGTGTAACAACTGTTCAACTTGGTAAACCTCACATTCTCTGCACCTTGTTGTTCAATATTAGATTTCCAATTATTAAAATTGCTCATTGGTTGAATACAATTGGTTATTTCATCTGGATTAATTGGGGTGTTTCTAGTTGCAAAATCATGAGCATTAAACTTAAATTGATATAATTTTCCATCTGATCTCTTAATATAAATTATACAATCGGCACCTACGGTGAAATCAACGATATCATCCTTGGTGAACGGTATAACAATATATTTAGCATCAGATTCAAATTCATGCCTTTCAAATTGTGCTTGTGATAAAGGTTCCCTCGAATACCAAACCACTAAACCTATTCCCACAATTAAACAACATGACAAATTCCATCCTGCAACTATTTTGACAACAAATGAGTCGTCAGGGATTCCAGGAAATCTGATACGAATCCCAATATTGGTACAACATCCAGTATCCCAGGAATATATATGGTTGAAATTGTCCAATGCAATTATATGTTCTCTTCCAGTACTTAAGGAAATAACCTTTCTTGATTTCCAATTATTTCTGGGTGGTAAGAATAATCTTGAAAGAAAATTGGTTTCTTTTATCTTTGATGGAGGATGATAAAATTCTGGAACTTCTTCATCTTCAGAAGATTCAGTAGGTTGCAATCTTCTTCTTGAGCCTGGGACAGGGGAACCAGTGGGTGCATGAGGTGGAGTCGTTGCTGTCGTCGTTTCTTCTTCTTCGTCTTGATTTCCTTCTTCATTTGGATCATGTCTAGTAAATGGCATTGGCATGACTCCTCTCATACCACCTAATCTTAAAGATCTTCGAGAACCTAAAGTTCTACCATTCTGGTTATTTAATGATTCCAATGCCAATGCTCCTGGATTGGGTCTATAATCTTGTTGATGGATTGGACCTGGAGTTGCTCCTGTTGTGTGATGAGGTTGTTTCCAGTCGACTCCAGTAAACCACATTTCCCCAGAATTGGTCAATATAATAAAACTGTAACCATTTGCTACAATATCCACAATTATATGATCATTGAATTCATGGATATTACAAGGCATATTTACTGACCATTGATGGTGACCTCCTTCATTGATTCTCCTAGTTCTATATTGATCAACTCGACTAATTAAATAACCTAATCTTCCGCCACTTGGTGATCCCCAAGTATAAACCTTTTGTTTTGGATTACAACGTAATTCAAATAATTGTTTCCAATTGAGTTTATCCTTCAAACTCAATGTATAATTATTCTCATTATTTGTGAATTTCTTATTATATAAAATTTGAAATAATAATGATGAAAGTTGTGAATGATAATATAATTGATATATTGATTTATTAATAATTGAAAAATTAAAGATTTCTTCAGGAGTTAAATATTTTGGAATTTGTGATACTAAAATATCATCACCAAGATCTAATATACTAAGATTCATTTGGTTAGTGAAGGATGGGGGGCTGGGTGTTGCTTTCTTTTGATGATACAATTGATAAGAAAAGATTGAATCAATTTTGATTTCCCCTGATTTGTTCAGTTTGAAAAATCCCAATTTTGTGTTGGTCGCGAAATCGCCACCCCCTATTACAATATTTACATACATGTGAAATGTGTGGGTTTAGTTGACAAGGCAGCCTTTTGCCTTTTGTATTTTTAACTTACATCACCTGATTGTGCATGATGAATCATCATTACAAGGAAATTCCATAACATCAATGTTCTCAGTTGGAGAATCTGATTTTAATTTATGTTGCTGGTCTTACAGATTTGAAATTTATTGTTGTCCTAATTATATTGTATTCTATCTAAGGGTTATATCCTCTCTGCATGTCAAAACTTGGAGCTAATGAGAAACGAATACCTATTTGTTTCCTTCGTTATTAATATTTTGTCATATAAAAATATCTAATATCGTCAACTAAATTTGGATTTCGTAAAAGCAAATCGATCCACGAAATTCTTCCAGGAAATGCTTCTGAGTATAACAGAAAGGGCAATGGAGAATCGTTCTTCATTATTCCATTACACTAGAAGCTATTGGAATATCGAGTGGATGTATTGTTTAATTCTTATGAACTCTCTGAATTCTAAGTTTAAACAAAATACAAATAGCTATGGTTGGATTCTCCTAGATATTTCCGAAGTTTTATTCTAGTTTTGTATAGTCTTAACTCAATCCCTATACTGTCATTTCTTCCTTGAAGAAGCTTTGCATCTTTCCTTTGTAAGAATATCCCATGTAGGTACTTCAAATTCTAAGTATGTTGCTCATATAAAGAGTTTTTTTGAAGTTTGAGTAAATTTCTGAACAAATTTGGGTAAAATTTTTGCAATCATCTGATAAAAAATCAAAACGAAAAAATTTACAAAATATTGGACTTATACTCCAAATATTACTTCCAGGTTAGTTGTGAATATCAAACCAATCATGATATATCTTTATAACTTTAAAAAATTTACTAATTGCGGTAAAATTGGTGTATTAGAAGAATATAAAAATTTCTGCAAAAAATAATCACATGATTCTCACATGATATCCAACACGTAAATCATGTGA